CCACAGCAGCTATTTCAAAGCTTCTTTACTGTCGTTAAGTCTCCAGCCTCATTTTCAACAATGTCTTCTTCTACTTATTCTCTATTAGAAGATAATCTCACCTCCCACTTCTCCAAGAAACAGTGTTCTATTTCTTAGCGATTCCCTTCACTTCCAACACCAAACATGAATACTTGCTTGCAAACACAACATTCTTCCCTTTTTTCTTCCCACTTATCACTCTGGAAAATAATATCCCCCATGCCTAAACATAAGCACTCCATCTATGTCTGGATCCAGTCCTCTCTTTCTCTTGGACCTCTATCAATGCTCATTTTTCTTTGCTGTATCTTCATTTTCTTCCTCCCTACTGGCTTGGTTTGTGAGTTTTAAAATAGATTCAAGTCTCTTACATTCTAAAATTCTCCCCTTAACTTCACAAAGCAATTCAACTACCACCCCAACACATTAACTCCCTCACCTTCCATTTACTTTTCAACTGTTGCTATTTAAATATATGGTATAACCATTCTACTGAGATTTCTCTCATTAATGACAATTTATTGCAACATCTTTTGATCTACTAAGCACAATTTGAGATGCTTAATATTACTAACTCATTTAAGACCGGTCAGCATCATCTTAGTATGGAATCTAGCAGAAAAGTCAGTTTCATGCAACCTCAGATATAAATAGTAATGTAAAGCCCTTAAGCAAGTTGGTAGCAGTTTAAGCAATTTTTATAAAAGCATAAATATAACAATAATGTTATATAAATATAAACCAAACATTTATATAAAAATTATGCGTATCCCAGACATGTATGGAGCTTCTTTAATTGAATCTATGTTAACAAAAATTTTAAAAAGGAAAAAAATTATATTTTGCAGTATAATGTTGAAATTTTTTTTCTCTGAAATTGGTAACAATCTATTCAACTATCATTTCCATTGAACATCATTTTAGAGGTCTTAGTGCAGTAAGGTGAGAAAAAATAAAAGTCATAAAATTATAACGGAAGAGACAAAAATTCTCTCTACTTGAGATGATCAGACAATTTGCAAAACAGTCACAGGAAACTACAAATAAGTTACAAGAATTAGAATCTAAGTAATATACCCAGAGGAACTCAAATCACTCTATGAAAAAAATATCAGCCGGCACAGAGGCTCAGCCTGTAATCCCGCGCCTTTGGAAGGCTGAGGTGAGTGGATTGCCTGAGCCCGTGGTTTCGAGACCTGCCTGGGCAACTTGGCGAGACCTCATCTCTACAATAAACCAAAAATCAGCCGGGCGTGGTAGTGCGTGCCTGTAATTCTGGCTACTCGGAAGGCTGAGGCGGAAGGATCGTGGAGCCCAGCAGGTCGAGGCTGCAGTGACCGCGAGCGGCCACTGCACTCCAGTCTGGGCGACAGAGTGAGACTTCAACTCAAAAAGAAAAGAAAAGAAAAGAAAAAAATACCTGCACACACATGTTTATTGCAGCATTATTCACAATAGCAAAAACATGGAACGAATCATGTAGCCCATTGAAAATAGACTGGATAGAAAAGAAAGTGTGAGCCAGGCTCGGTGGCTCAGCCTGTAATCCCACGCCTTTGGGAGGCTGAGGTGAGTGGATTGCTTGAGCCCGAGGGTTCGAGACCCGCCTCGGTAGTGAGACCTCGTCTCTATAAAAAAAAAAAAAAAAAAAAAAAAAATCAACTGGGCATGGTAGCGCGTGCCTGTAATTCTGGTTACTCGGAAGGCTGAGGTGGAAGGATCGCCGGAGCCCAGCAGGTCGAGGCTGCGGTGGCTGGGAGCGGCCACTGCACTGCAGTCTGGGCGACAGAGTGAGACTCCAACTCAAAGAAAAAAAGAAAAAAAAAAAAAAAGTGTGGTACATATATATGATGGAATATTATGCAGCCATAAAGAAGGAAAAAAATTATAAACTTTGCAGCACTTGGACGGATTTAGAGTCTATAAAACTGAGTGATCTATCACAGAAACAAAGAACTAAGTACCACATATTCTCACTCATAAGCAGACCCTGAACATTTATCGTAGTACTATAAGAAAGGATTGGTAGTAGTGGGAAACTGTCAGGGGTTGGGGGAGGGCACATTTCATCAGCAAGGGTACCTGAAGTGCTGAAGTGGTGACCAAAGTGAGGCTCAAACTTTACCTGTACAATGACCATTTGTATACCTAAACCTGAATTGTACCCCATATCTTAAAATAATAATTAAAAAAATATATAAAGACTCTAAGCAAGAGTGTGAGATAGAAAATCAATATAAAATATCAATGTTATATTCATATCAGAAAATGATATTTTAAATTGTACCATATTATATTCGTAAACTATTATACCACTCAGCAGTATAAATTAAAAACTAAACAAAGCTATTGGTACATGAAAATAAGAATGTATCTAAAAAAATGTTGAGAGAAAGAAGATACAAATGAGTATATAGTATATTATTGATGTATATGAACTTTCAGACCAAGCAAACTATCTGTGTATGTAAGAACAAAAACAAAAATGATAGGACTTTCTGGGTGATTGAAATATTCTATAATTTTACTAGGGTGCTGGTCACATAAGTGAATGCAATTTTGGAAACCCCATTGTACACTTTAAATATGTGTATTTTATATTTCAATAGAACAATAAACAGATATTGTATTGAAGACTACAGTTTTACTCTTTTCTTACCCCATATGTTACCCAAAACTTCCAAGTAGACAAAAGATATTCACTTAAAAGGCAAAACCGAAAACCTTTGGAATATAATTGAGTATAAGATCTTTTTGACTCTGAGGGGGTAGGGAATAATTTTTTAAATAAGATTAAGTGGCAACAATCATAAGAAATAAAATTCATAATTCTACTAAATATAAAGGTACCATAAATGTCATGAAAATAAAATCCACAGAATGGAAAACAGTCCTTGCAACATAATTAAAAAACAAAAGAATAATATTCAGAATATATACATAACTCCTAGAATCAATTATATATATATATATAAAAAAAACCCTCCACAAAAAAGGAAATGGCCAAGAAATGTGAATGGGCAATGAACTCAAAGAGACATCTGAAGAACTAAAATATGTAGAAAAAGATGCAGAACATTTTTATAATTAGACAAGTGTAAATTGACCCATGAGAATATGTCTCTATATACCCAATAAATTAATGAAAATTAAAAAGTCTTACAAATCTAAAGTTTGATGAAAAAGTAGGGCAATGAGAACTTGGCTGCGCTACTGGTGGTATGTAAATTGGCAAATCTCTATGAAAATAGGCTTGCTGTTATCTAGTAAAATTCAAGATGTGCTTTCTTATATTGCAACAATTCTACTTCTGGATACCAAACTATAAAAAATATATGTACAAGTACAAGAAAATCCAAGATCTATGTCCAAGAAATTTTGTAACAGCATTGCTTACGGTAATCTAAAAATGGAAACAAACTGTAGTAGATTGTGGCACAGGCATACAGTAGAAAACCATACAGCAATAGAAATTAATGAACTTCAACTACATGTAACAATGAGGATCAATAATAAATATATATAATAACAAATATAATATAAATTATAAATAAATATATATATAAAAACAAATATAATATCGAACACAAAAAGTCAGAAAAAAGAATATGCATTACTGAGTTCAATCATAAATTGAAATAATGGCAAAACTCAATTATAACCCTTAAGGAGGCAAACATAAGTGATAAAATTATACACAAGGCCATTGCTTTGCTAAGCTCTGGTCTGGCCACATGGCATTTTGAACTATGGTCATCATGTTTTCCTAGCTTTTTTCCCCCTCCTTTGGGGAGATGTCTCTCTCTCTCTGTCTCTCTCTCTCAAATTTACTTTCTAAACAAAGTATATTTTCCAATCTAAAAAAGTTATATTTAAAATGTATCATAAAATTCAGATTATAGGTTATACTACTGATTACTGAGAAGGGAGGTCTGGCATATAATTAGGGAGAAGCATAAAGGGATATCTAGAATGTTGTGTATGTTCTAGTTCTTGAGCACAGTAATGACTGTCCCCTTTAAAATAATTCACTAGACTGTGTTTTATTCAGTTTTCTATATGTTTGCTATTATTCATTATAAAACAAAAATTAAAAATGCACTAAGAAGGTTTCAACTCTCTTAGTATAAATTTACTGAGAAATTTTTATTGCTGATAATAACTCCTAACTTCATTTTGTCTAGGTTTCTTTGCATTTCACATCTCAGCACTGGGAAGAAATTTCTACTGAAAAACCTCTTATCATCAATGCAGTCAATGTTATACAGTTAGAAATTTATAGTTATCAGCTCTGTGTATACACTCAATTACCTTAGTTTTTTTTCCTAACAAAAATAAATAAAAATGGCAAATCCAAACTATAGAAAAGTCATTTCTACAAGGGCTTTAATATTTTTCCTTGAGAAAGTTATTGTCCCAGTATTTCATGAAACATCCTTTATTGACACTTGGCTTCCTCTTCCATGTGATCAGTACTATTTAATAAGAGCTCATTCTTTGCAAACAATTTTTCCACTTATTATAAGATACATATCAAAGTTACAATACTGTAATGTCACATTTTATAACAGAGTTTCTGTCTTACTATATAAAATGTATCCAAGCTCTTATTCTGATTTTGTGTATGTTTCAAGTTAAAAAACAACATTAAAATTTACTACTTTATACAAATTATTATTATAATGAATGAAAGTTGATGCCATTTCCCAAGGCAAGCATCAGATTACTTTTTTTCCCTTTAAAAGATTCAAAGGTATAAACAGATTTTACATATTGCTTAATACTTCTGGTAAGTATCTAAGGTCAAAGGTCATTTAAATGCCTAGTTCTCTCTCCCTCCCTTTCTCCCTCCCTCTTTCCTTTCACTTTCAAACTGCAGTATGGACTTTAATGTGTATTGTGATCATATTGCATGGAGAACAATCAAGCAAAACTATAGTATAGGAAAAAAGCATGTTTATCAGTGTGTCTCGTCTTACTTTGCGAACACCTCTGCCAAGCTCTTCTCCATAGTTGGTTCCGAGAATTTCAAAGTGGACATTGGGATTGCCTCCATTTTCTCCAAATTCAAGCTCTCCAGTCAACCCATTAACTCCACCCTAAAGGAGAGAACAGATACTAATGTAAATTTCAGAAGTACAAACAAAACAATAATAATAAGACATAAAAGGAAACTGTAGGAATTCTCATTCCATCTACAAAATAATCTCAAGCAGGCAATTAATAATAGGCTATTTTGAATAGGTACACAGCAAGTACAAGAGTACAGTTAAAAGTAATTTTAGAAATTACTTAATCTAATCTCATCCATTTGTCATACAGGCAAAGACATTTAGACCCAGATTGTCAAATGACTGCTCAGAATGACACCATGTTAGAGCTGAGACTAAGTTTAAGGTTAGAATTGTTGTCACCATACCGTGTGACTTGCATAGATCCATTAGTTAGAAAACAAGATGCTTCTAAAAAGTATAAAATCTACTCTGCAGACAAGTTTCAACAATGTTCTTTGCTCCAGCACAATTCCATTCAAATGTGATCTAAAACTATACTTAGGAATTTTTGAACCCATAGTTTCTAAATTATTAGAGGTCTCCCCGCCTCTTCTTTAAACATATTTTCCAAATTAAAAATAAAAGAAAGCTAAATTAGGCTTGAAATCTGCTTTTGCTCTTAGCTGGTAGTTCTGGGTGTTGGGATTCACTGGGAGTTTCCAAGCTTCATCTTTCATTCAACATGACAGATGTTCATTTTTCCAACAGATGGCAATGTAGGTCATACTTCTGTCTTTCTTGTTTATCATTTTTTTCTGCTTATTTTATCAGCTCTCTTATTATTTAGGATTTCACTAATGAAAATCACATTCTGAGTCACTTCAATACTAAAATATGTCTAACTTAAAATTTCGACCAGATAGTGACATTTATTTGGACAACAAATTATCTCAGTTTGTAAATTGTTCCAAGTATCACATCTATGATGTTGATATTTAAATACATCTCACTTGCCATACTCTGTAACTCCATTTCAGTCTTTTTTTGGCTGGCATTATGCTGTCTGCTATATTGCCTGCTTTATCTGTGCCTTGTAGCACTTCACTTGATGCTAAGTTCATAATGAGTCTAATTAACTATTATTGATTGATTTTTTTAACCTTAATTTCTCATTTGCAATTGTTAACCTATTTTATTTTTGTAGCAATAATAATCATCAAAACTAATCCTCTGCTATTATTTTCTAATCAGTCAGCTTCTCTTTTTATTATCTAGCTTTATTAATTTAAAAACCTGTTGGAGTTCATAAGTTTGTGCTCTTTTCATATATGATTTATCTGTCAAAACCATATGCTGCACTTCCTGGATTTCATCAGTGGCATCAGAATCTACTAGTTGTGTAAACCTAAGTCATTTAATTTCCATATGCCTCAATCTCTACATCTGTTAAGTGGGAAAAATAATAGAACCTACCCAAGAATATTATTATGATTCTTATTATAATACTATACATGTAAAAACTATAGAAGAATACTTGACATATGGTGAGAAGTTAGTTAACATTATTATTATTATCATCAATAATTACCTTTATCATTACTTAATTTTTTAATTTTTGAGGCTTTATAGTTCTAGAAATTGTAGGCATGGTCTTGTTTTTTATTTTTTTTTATTGAGTTTGTAAATTTTTTTTTTACTATATTGAATATTTAGATTGCTTTGGCAAGTGTTTTTGCAAATTTCAACTCAGTTATATTTCATTGATTAGTACTTGGGGGGGGATCAAAGCATCTGGTCTAAGATCTGCTCACTCCTCTTACTGGTGTATGTATAGGACAGTAGCTGGGGTTTGGAGTGGGGTCCAATGTCCTTGTCAACTGGAACTTGAAGTAAATAGGTAATAGGGAGAATTCTGATCTATGCAAAGACCTTAGCAGCATATCCCAGACTAAGTAAACATTGTAGTAAATAAATCCAGGATCTACAGATTAATATTTTGTGTTTCCCCAGAAAATGTTATGAAGCCTTATATTTTCTAGGGTAAAAATTGAAATCTTTCATAATGTAAATGTTCTCTGTTGTGACAGGTAGACTTGTGAAAACTTCCTTAGGGACCAAATGTGCATTTCCAATGTGGGAAGGAAAGAACCTGGGGAATCATGCAGACAGGCTTCAACTTTATTCTTTGTGCCCCTTACTTGCCTGTGTCTTTGATAGTGGTTATATGAGAGGGGACTCCAAAAAATTCTGGAATTTACTTATAAAAAATTGTGCATTCATTCTTTTTTTTTTTTTTTTGAGTTGGAGTCTCACTCTGTCGCCCAGACTGGAGTTCAGTGGCCGCTCCTGGCCACCGCAGCCTCGACCTGCTGGGCTCCGGCGATCCTTCCACCTCAGCCTTCCGAGTAGCCGGAATTACAGGCACGCGCTACCATGCCCGGCTGATTTTTTTTTATTTATTGTAGAGATGAGGTCTCGCCAAGTTGCCCAGGGGGGATCTCCAACCCCAGGCTCAGGCAATACACTCACCTCAGCCTCCCAAAGCGCGAGATTACAGGCTGAGTCACCGGGCTCGGCTCATTCTTACATTTTAAAATTTCAGTTACCTTCAAAGTACTCTCTGTTTTCTTTGTAAAGCACCTATTGAGAAACTGTTTCCACTGCTCAAAACAGTTTTTGAACTGGTCAATTTTGATGCCTTTTAATGATTTTGCCGTTTTTTGTCTCACCTCTTCCACATTGGTAAAACGTTTCTCCTTGAGGACTTTTTTCAGGGAAACAAACCAAAAAACGTCATTCAGGGTAAATAGGGAGGGTGGGGCACGAGGGTCACGCCCTTTTTGGTCAAAAACTGCTAAACACACAGCGTGGTGTGGGCAGGTGCACTTGCAAATCACCCATCATGAAATGGGAAAATGCGTTAAAAGAATTTCAAAAAAAAAAATCACTGAGGCCAAACACAGCCTCTCACAACAATGCTAGCTGATACATTGATGCCAATGAGTTCGTGCTCCAAAAGATAATTCCGGGTTTTTTGAGTACTTCCTTGTATGTCTGATTCTTGTGGGTCTATTCAATTCTCTGTGTTAGTTCAGCATTAATATTCAAAATATCCAAATACAACTTAAGATTTTAAAGACTGAGGTAAGTACTGTGTATCTTATCATTAATATCTCCTAATGGCAAATATTGTAGGAGTTTGATGGACAAATATAGCTTATATCACTACACATAAGTTAAAACTATTAGTATTTCAAAATATTTTTATAAGAGAATTTCTTAACCTCAATCACACATTTACCTGAATAATATCTCCTAAGTATATCAGAATCTTAAATTTCTGTTTTATGGTACTTTATTTACAGGGAAAAATATTGTATATCAATATGATTACTACATAGCAAAAATACTATACCCCTAAGAAATGTGAACATTTGAGCACTCGACTCTGGTGCTAAATTATTATTCTCAGTCAATATGGCCATTCTAGGTTATGTTTTTATCTTTCCCTTGTATCTGCCATTGAGTGACTTAGTTTACTAATATTGAACAAGATACAAAAAACAACAACAACAACAACAATAATTTGGGAAACTTGCATTTGCATTGTTCACCTGTTCGACATTGTAATTTATCTTCTTATTTTGTTCACCTTTTTGACTTTGTAATTTATCTTCTTGATGCTATATTCTTAATGAGCTATTGATATGCATAATCAGTAAAACCTTCCCTCTTGAAGATGTCAGGTATGTCTGAGAGGTTAGTATTTCAGGCAAATAAACCCTTTAATCAAAGACCTTTGTTATCCTACCTAGACTTAACCTCTCTAACTTTGTATAGTCTTAGAAAATTTCAGTGCTTTTAAGCTTTTTTAGAAAAAAATCTATCCTCAGATTAACCTTGAAAACAAGCCTGGGTAAAAATGTGTACTGGTCAGGTGGTAATGAATGGTCATCATCTTTGTGCATGTATAATTGTATATCTCTTGGTGATACAGCAAATTCTAAACACAATAAGCTAATGGGACATTGACAGCATGAAATACATATACAAATAATTTCTAAATGTCCTTTAAATTTGTAGTAAAAATTGCTGCCAGAGTAATTCTCTATAAAAATACCAAGTAAATTTTGTTTAGATTTCCCACTAGATATAGAAATACCAATGGACATCAAATATAGAGTGAAGACAAGAAAAGTGAAAAGAGGAGAATCAAAGGTTAGGCATAATCTACCACTGGAGAATAAGTTCTGAAAGGCAAAAGTTTGCTGTTTCTCCATGGCTAGGAAAATTTGGAAAAAAGGTGAAAAAACTATATCTACTAAGACTTTATTTCTCTGTTTTATGAGACTGAAGGATCTTTTCCTGTTCTTGAAATTGCAACTTAGAGACACTTATGAAGGATCATATGGAAAATCAAATATTTACCATACTTGCCAAATTTTCTTATACATATTCCTAGGTTCCTGCAGACATGTTTGGTAACCAAGGATATGCTGTTAAATAATCAGGAGCCCAGCAAGGCAAGGAACACTCTGGGAGATGCAGTCTCAGTGCCAAGCCCTGATGCCTCCATATTTTATCAGTGTTAGGTTCAGAGAGAAGAATCCCTGGCAGAATTAAAAATAACACATTTCCTACCCAGCAAAGAAATATTATAATGGGTAGATAAATGTCAAGCTGCAGGGTGCAAAAAACACAAAAAACTTGATTTATGTAAACTATTTAGGAAAATTTGAATTGCCATGTAACATTTATATGTGTATATATATATGATGTGCATATAGATATGCATTTATATACACATATACACTCAAATGGCCTTTCACAATGTAGACTTGCAGCCAGTTGAGATATAAGTAGAATGTTACTAGCATTTTGGTCTTGCTGCCTCCATCTTAAGAGTAATTAGAAGGCTGGGCTCGGTGGCTCAACCTGTAACCCCGGGGCTTTGGGAGGCCGAGGTGAGTGGATTGCCTGAGCCCGCGGGTTCGAGACCCGCCTGGGCAACTTGGCGAGACCTCATCTCTACCATAAATTTAAAAAAAACATTAGCTGGGCGTGGTAGCGCGCGCCTGTAGTTCCCGCTACTGGGAAGGCTGAGG